GTTATTATTGCTGTCTCATTATTGTTTATTATTCTGTTGTGTGTGTTCCATCCTTTCTTTTTCATTTTGTGGAATATGCCGCAACATTTTCTTTCGGGCATCTTGCCTAGTCTATTCTTTATTCGTTCTGATCTTTTTGGTTGGCTGGTGTCTCCCTGACTTCCTTTTCTTCTTCTCTGCGGTTTGTTAATTGGGGTTCCTGGTTCCCACAATGGCAGTGTTGACACCTTTGAAGGGTCAACTCCTTCTTCTTCCGTTTCTTCTTTTTCGGGTTCTCCTATTTCTTCTTCTTCCTCTGTGGAGTATTCCATTTTTTCATTCTCGTAATCTTTCTTTGACCTATTGACGTGCACTACCTGTCTATTTTTTCCCTTTTTCGTATCTACTGCATACGTCACTGGTCCAAATTTTCTATAATTTGAAATGGTATGGAGAGTACCATTTTTCTGCAACTTCTTTGAAAGACTTGTCGTGCTACTTAAGTCTCTCAGATATACGTTGTGTCCGTCTTCAAATTCTCTCAAATTCAAATTTTATATATTTATGTTCTCCTGTGTTTTTCTATACACTATTTTCATTTTTCATCCATGTCCTTACGCATGGGTTTCCTTTTCTATATTATTCTTCTGTGTTTTTCCATACACTTTTTTCATTTTTTTGCTCTCATGCTCGTGTACATAAGTTTCCTTTTTCTATATTTTCCTATAACTTTTTCCATTTTTACTCTCGTGCTCGTGCCCCTGGCAGTCGTCGCATCTCTTCACATTTCACATATTTCCCAACATTTCTTCCTAATTCGCTCCAGAAATAATTTTCTCCTATATTTCTGTACTATATATCCTATTTATTCTTCCATATCCTTCCTGTAACATGTGGAAGGTAATAATTATAACTCTTCTTTTCCTTTACTTTTCCGTTTACTTCATTAACGAAAATCACAATTCCAGATTCGTTTCGCGTTTTTATTACATCGTGTAGATACTGTATTGTCGTACTGGAGCCGCGGGACTCTTAGCGGGTTGGGATTCTAGTACCACCCTAGCTTATCCCCTTAGCAGCCTCCTACTTGACGCAAGTTTCACCCCTTAAGGTCGAACCATATACAGCTTGCCCACATTCCTGTAAAAAAATATACTTCTGGCACTGTATTCATCTTCGTATGCTGTGTGAGATATGCCTCTATTTCTGTGGCATCCCACCTGTGTCCACTAAATTATTCCTTCTTATTTATGGTTCTGCTTCTTTGTCTCAAGCAAAGAAACTGGCTTAAACTCTTCTACATTTAGAGTACGTTCCATAAATACATAAATAAAGTTCCATAATTTTACTTTAACGATAGTAACTAACTATGAATTTTCCGTCTCCAGCGAGTCCTTGCCTTAGCAACGATTCAGTGCTTCAGTGAAGGCCCTTAGGTCTTCCTGTCCAATTTGCACTTTCCCCTGGTACATAAACTGTAGCAAGTTACTTTAAACGATAGTAACTATTATACTTTTTTCCGTCTCCAGCGAGTCCTTGCCTTAGCAACGATTCAGTGCTTCAGTGAAGGCCCTTAGGTCTTCCTGTCCAATTTGCACTTTTCCCTGGTACATAAACTGCAGCAAGCCTCCTAGTGTCTCGCAAGTTACGTTTGTCAAAATTACTATAGGACGTTGACAACGATTCGACTCAATTTTTCTTTAAATATGGGCTACAGCCCAAAGAACCACTTTACGTGCTTCTATGCATTTTCCTTGCGATGCAAGCTCCACGTCTACTAAATCTTGACTGTTCCATAATGGATCCATTCCCGACTCATATGCTCGCGGAAATCATTCCAAAATAGTGAAAAAGATTTTCTGACGCCACATCCCATTTAAATTTTCTTTAAATATGGGCCAAGCCCAAAGAACCACTTTACGTGCTTCTATGCATTTTCCTTGCGATGCATCCATTCCCGAACTCATATGTTCGTGGAAATCATTCCAAAATAGTAAAAAAGATTTTCTGACACCACGGTCAATTATCTTCCAAAGCTCCATTAAATTCTTTTCCCTCTTTTATATCTCCATCTCAGTATGATGTGCCAATTTATGAAGTTAACCAACAATTGTATAAAGAATTAAATTTTTGTTAAAATAAAGAACTTAGAAATATACGCTGCCGAACTTAAAAAAATCTGTAGGAAATATCAAATAATCAAATCAAATAATAATCGATCAATCAATCAATAGTCGAATATCAAATAAGGTGTTAGTATTTATTTTTTTGCAAAATTAAGCTGTATTAAATTCTTTTCCTTTTTACAAATTAAACGTTATTTATAAATCCAAATATCCCAGTTTACTTTAATTAATCAGTTAACAAAGTCATATCTAATTTCTCAGTGTATATTACTTGAAGAATTCGTTAACCAAGCATTTTATGCCATAATGTAATATTTTCCTATCCGTCGCGGTGCATTTTCATGGTCAAATATACTTTTACCACGCATCAGCAACAAAATCATATGATTGTTTGGCTTACTTGTTTCAATAAAAAATAGAATTTGATAACATGTAAACCGTTGGTTAACAAAATAATAATACTTAACGAAGTTTATGAGCTTATTTTTAAAAGCAATTAAACGTATGCGCTAACCTTGACCTATTTACTTAAATTCTTTATGTTCAACTAGTTAAGGAAACAATGTAATGATTACTTATTCAAATAATTATATTCAATTCCTATATTCGACTGATAATTAATAATCTCTGTTATACTTATATATCATAAAATCTGTTAGACTGTAGTTTATATTTTTAGTGCAATATTATGGCAATTTAAAAAAACAATTATATAGAGAACATCATATAATGTGTTAGTATGTATTTTTGAAAAAATTTGTACTTGTCATCTCTTCACATATATCCTAAAATTGATATGAGGTCATTTTCTAGTGATACAAGACAAAAAATCTACTATATACGAATAATTTGTGTAAAACCACTAACAAGTTTATATAACAAAGAGAGAAAAAGGATTTTCTTCCAGAAAAGGGAGTCCTGCACTCCACACAATATTTACTGGATACCTCACTGTTTCTTTAATCTGTTGTCGTCTTAGGAAAGAGAAGAAAAATTGGAATGTCACTGGCGAAATGAAACGATGAAGGCTTCTTATAGCTACAAAACTTGCAAAAGTTTACAAGGATACTGAAGAAGTGACTTAATTATCCCTATTTATCGAAATTCACCCAAACCGGGACCGCTGTCACCAATGTAATTAATCTAAAGTAAAGATAAAGGGTTCTGTAATGCAGAAGAGCGGAGGGGGTGAAGAGCTTGACAGTACAACTAATATAATTAATAGGGTTACGTATAATGAAATCTATTACCTTATGTGTATATTAGGGCTTCAACCACGACACGTTCAGTCTTCTGGAACTCGGTCAGTTGAGGGTTGCGAACTTTCGAGCTGCCACAATAACCGGACTACACGCGAATTCTGACAGAAGATACCCGGCCCCCGGAAAATCACCGACTGTCTCGCGTGCTGGACGCGTACGGGACGCTGTCGCGTCCCCGTCACGGTGGCCCGCTATTACTGACTGACTGACTACTGACTACCCGGCGTCCGTCGTTTTCTTCTTGTTTTATTGTGGTCGTACTTTCAACGCCGGTTCTAGTACCAAGGTCGTAGGTTCGCTGAGTTGCAGTTTTGGTATTATTGCTGCCTATTTGGGTCACGGATGTTTCGTGCTTTTTATACGTTTAAACAATTATCAAACAATGCAATAACTAGGTCAATTGTTATACTTTGTATAATTTAAATGTATAAGTTAACTGTATTAATTATCCCTTATTTAATTTGGAATATATGATAATTATCTCGAATAATTATTATCTTTTCTATGCTACTTATTGTTCCATTATCCCTTTATTCCAACTTCTCACTCACTTGCTACGCTTACATTACACTGGAAGGTATTTGACACCTGATAGTTTCCTTCCAAAATTCTGTAGACGATTGTATGCTTAATACACATTATATCAGAAAAACAGTAGACCAAGGTGTAGCCTGGTACCACAGCAACATTTTCTCTAAAAGAAATACATTGAAATGTGATCCCAATAGGAGCCACACATACAGTATTACAACAGTGTCGTATGGCCCCCATGGGAATCACATGTACCCAAGTTCAAATGGCAGTGTGATCCCCATAGGGGTCACGTGGCGTCCAATGTGTTAAACACTGCAGCTTTTTATATTACAGACCCTTTTTTCAAATTTTTAATCTTTCATTAAAGAGTGGGATATTTCCAGTCTGTTGGAAAAAAATCTTTACTACTCCCATACTCAAGTCTGGAGATAACTCTCAGGTTCACAAGTATAGACCCATCAGTATACTTAGTTGTATTCCAAAAGTATTCAAGAGCCCTTGTTTGTGGCTATTTATGTCTAGCTTAAAATGCTATTTTAAAGAACAACAATTTGGATTTATTCCTCACCAGTCAACTGAGCCGAATCTATTGACTTTCACTGATTTTATTTTTAAAGCTTTGGAGGAAGGTACTGAAGTTCATACAGTGTATACAGACTTTAGAGGCGGTTGATAATGTAAACCATTAAGTTTGAATTAATAAGTTACATAGTCTAGGTATTCAGGGAAAACTTTTAAAGTGGTTATCTTATCTTACCGAAGTAATGCAAATAGTGCATATTCAAGGCTTATAATCGAATGAGATAGAGGTACCATCTAGTGTACCTCAAGGTTCGCACCCAAGTCTTTAATATCTATGTGAATGATAGTGCCTCCTGTTTTGTCAATTTTATGTCAGGTTCTGCTACTGTTATATTTGTGTTTGAATTCTTATATATAGAAGTGATAAATATTTCAATAAATTTTAAATAAATCAATATTTTATACTACTAACTGCATAAAAAACCTTACAAATACATATCAATATCACTTTTAATGAATACATACTATGATTTTTTGTTGTTTCTAATACAGCATACACATAGACAAAACATCTTACCTACAGACAGAATCCTTGTGCAATAAAATAACTGATAATCCTAAGAGATAGTAAGTTATTCTTGGCAGTGCCCATGAATGCAACATATCACACATCCAAACTAAATACCTTTTTATTAAAGCTTTAAATTGTTTTATGTTGCCTTCTCCGTGGCCTTCACTAACTTTCTTGAAAATACAGGGTTGCCATGCCAAACATCCAACTATTTCTGGCTTGTTTCTTCTAATCTATAAAAAGATGATATTGGAACAATCAGGACATATACCATGATACTTGTGGTACATTCAGAGAGTAATAAATATAAAGATATCAAAGAAAATAATAGAATATTTGTAAACAGTAGATGAGAATTTGTTATAATTGAAAAAATGCTGAAACGAATCTCAACAAACTGAAATTTAATAAGTAAAAAAATTATGATTCAAATACTTACCAAATAAATGATATTAGGGAAAAATGATGTGATTACAGCTTTCTGATTCAACTCGGGAAACTTTTCAAACAATTTCAGTATTACAGGAACCATCTAGAATTAAAAATAATAATATATCCTTGATGTATTGGGATATTTGGCAAATCTCACATATCTCTGAAGAACAATTCTACAATATTGTTGATTAAAATTAAAAATGTCTCAGTTTCTTTACATACATTTCAGTTTCACTGATTTTACAAAACAAAAGCTGAAAACAGCACTCTAACAAATGATTTGAAGAGTACAGACAACCACAAATGTGTGGCAAAAATCTGCTTTGATCATTATATGAATGCAAAAACTAAGCATTATTAATTTTTCAACTAAACTACCTATACATAAAGTTAAACCCTTTACCTTATTGTTATTTTCTTTAATATCAATGAAAATTCTTTGTCCCATCCCAAGCATTTGTTCTACAGCCTGCTCTAATGTTGGTACATGAGAATTAGGAAATGAATCTCTGTCAAAAAAAGAGTGATGGGTTACAAAATGAAGATACACACCTTGTTAAAATGACTATGAAATATATTCAGCACATGGTTGTGATGCCAGCACCATTGGATTATTACATACAAACCTTTACCTGTAAGCATGTTTCACTGAAATGTCAATTTTGGCCAAATCTTCGTACTTCATATCCTTTACTACAATATTCAAGTCAGCCATTCTTTCTAAATTTGAGTCATGGAAAACAACTGGTACGCCATCAGATGTGAGGATCACATCTATCTCTATCACATCACATCCTTTTTCATGGCACTACAATTAATTGGTTATTGTGATTATGAAACATATAAAACCATTGACTTACTTTTTTAAAGGCTTCTATTGTATTCTCTGGAGCGTCCAGGCCAGCTCCTCTGTGAGCTACTGTCTTAATAACAAATCCATTATCTCCTGTGGGATCATCAATTTCTTTACCCAAGATAGCTTCAACTGTGTCTTTTTCGGGAGGAGGAACTCTAAATATAACTACAATGCCTACTAAAATTCCAGTAAATATTAAAGTTAAAGGTATTAAAGTAGTAAATATTTCAGCAATCAGGAACCAACTTCCATAGGTTGCATATACTACAGTTAACGCACTCGGTATTAAATATAAAAAATCTGGTTTCATTTTAAATTTGGTTATTTTTACTCGAGCACTGAAAATTTAAAAGGGTTAGTTTTGTTAGTACACTTGTTATCTACATATCATTTTTTAATTTTAAAATATCCCAATGTTTACTTTTGTTGCCATTTCCTCGATGGCATGTGACGTTTCTGTAGACAAGTGCAATGCTCTTTAATTAAGGTCAAGAACAAGGACGAATCCTTATCACCAATTTGCCATTATGAAAATTTTGTTTTTCTACCAATTAAATCGTATTGTATTTGTCGTCCAGATTAAATAATAATAATTTGTCTTATAAGTCTTAAATGAAATATTTATATTATGTAATAGGTGCTGCCTACATTTAAGGTTACACCAGATCATCGAGCAATAAGACAAAAGAGGGAATGTAAAGGTAGTGGGGGTAAACATATTGATAGACAGGAAGTGCCATCTTGAGAGGCCACTTTAGACAAGGATAGACAGTCTCTTTCCTTGTTTAAGAAGTCAAATTTAGTTAGGTTATGTTATTGTTTGTCCCAACTGTCACATGAAATTTTATTTATATTGAAATCTTTTACCAATTGTGTCACTTTTTAGACTATTATAGTTAATATTTAATTAAAACTTTCTCGTCTGAAAAATATTTTATAGCTATTGTTAATAAGTGTTGGAAAATTTAAATTTAGCGCCTTTGCATTTCCGGATATGTCCGCCATCAGAGGCCACTTTTTTGGTCTCCTTTTCATAACGATTAGATTCCCTCTTTTATCTTTTTGCTCTATGCACCAGATACATACTGGCAACTGTGACAACGTGTGGAGTCGCTATATTTATTTATATTCTAAAACATATTTGATGATATAACTACTGTCCCGAAATGAAACAAACGGTATTATAAGATACTATTATTTAATAGGTCAAAAATTCCAAAGTGTGAACCATAATATGAGATCCTGATTGAGAAGCGAATAACATTCAACATGTCATGACCTTGATGTAACTTTAAAATTTTAAGCAAGCATTTAAATTTTGATAATTAAGCTTATCTTAATATTTAAATATATTATTTAAGTATAATACGCAAGCTTTTGGTCGCCTATTTTTGGCGTTTTTATAGTAATAATTACCATTCTGTTACGACCATGTTTAATTTCAATTTTTCCAGCAATTATACTCCAAATGCATATTCACTAATAGATCATATTAGTACCTATTTACGGGTTTTCTAGGGATAATGATAAGATAAAAAAGGCTAAAGAATGTACCTCGAAAAATTGATAGTTCAGACGCTTAGAGATTTAAAAAATGAAGATTATAAACTGCTACATCTAAAATACCTATTACATACTAGAAATTTTACTTAATCTTGTAAAGCTAAAATATGTAAATTACGTCTTCGTTTATTCAATTTTTTACTTTTTTAATTATATAATTTTTTAATCGTTAATTATCTTAGTAGAACATTTATTTTAATTTTGTAATTAACATCACATCTAATGTTCCGGCCTGCAGATTTAGTAGGATAATTGATTTTCCTATACTTATCACTGGCATTACATTCTGCAGTTAAATGTATTGTTGGTCGCCTATACTTAAGGGCTGAAAGTGGAGAGTAGTTAGTATTAATTTTACAACACTACATTTTTATTTCGAAACAGATGTAGTTATTTTAGTACATTGTATCCATAAAGGGATGAATTCTTCTTTTTTTCATTTTATTAATTAGTCGTCTGTTCCTTGATTGTATAAATTCATCTTTTAACATGTTGAAAACACCTTCAATGATTAGATATACTGCTTCAGTAATACTTATAAAACTTACTCCTACGAATAAATTTAAGGTCCCTCCAAAAGAAACTGCAAATAAAATAATAAAACAAATGGTTTAATTTATTATATTTCGTATAAATGCCTACCTATTAAATCACCAAAACCAAAAAGTATATCCCGACGATACTTAGTGGTGGGGTGGAGCAGTCCCCAACGAAAAGTAGTTCTTTGATCAAAATATACACCACTATCCCTGAAAAGTACAGAATTTTGTATATTTTGTCGAACGGACTTTTTGTACTTACCACAAAACTATTTTTGGAGTTTCTGGGAGGTAATTTATAAAATGACACGTTTGAGGACACTTGCAACCATTTTAGAAGGAGTCATTGTTAGAAAAGCGCTGTATTTTGACAGGCAAAGAAGTCCGGTAATATTACAAGGGACTCCACCTGAAATTGATGAAAATTCGTTCAGATATGGCTATGTTGAGGGTGTTTTAAATTTATCGAAAAATTCTAGACAATTTACCAAATATATGATAAAAGTAAGGTTTGCATCCACAAAATTTCATAGCCAAATTGTGTCGGCATCCATTTGGCAGATGCTAATGCTATAAACCGGTACATCTTTCCTGATTGGTTCATCGTCAAATCTAAAAAATAAAACACTATGCACTAAGTTGCATCATTTTAAATAAACTTTAAAGAGAATATCACTTAAAACACCGTGTTAAAAACGACAAAAGCCATGTTCAATCTAAAGTAGATAGTAACATAATCGAAGCAAAATATTCTTTGATTACTTAACAGGTTCCTTTCTTTTGCTTTTAAAAATATGCCTTGTTTACGTTCGACTGTGCCAAACTCGATGATACTTCATTTAGATCAGGAACTGTTGATGTTAAGTTGTAAATCAAAGCAGATGAAGGTTTTCCAGCAGGCACTCAAGCGTACTGTTTAATTGTTCACGACAGTGTACTCGAATACTTTCCTCTAACTAAAGTTGTCAAGAATATCATTTAAAAAGATTCAATAAGTTGAATGAAGTGTTAGTAGCAGACAAGCAGTCATCATGAGAATAGCGTTCGTAGACATTCAGGGATTCACCGTAAATGGGTGGTTTGTACCCAAAGAGCTTACAATTGAAATTGGACATAAACGATGTCATTATATATTTACGGCTCAACAACAGTTTGCTACATTGAGTAATCAAGATAAGAAGACTGTTGCGTACTTGGAAAAAAACGTTCATGGTCTTCGGTATTCTAATGGGGATGTTGAATATTTCAAAATGAATGAAATACTAGAATTCAAGTTGTTTTAGGCAGCTGACAACATTTATGTTCGCGGAGAACAGAAAGTTGAATTTTTACAAAAGAAATGTCATATTTTTGGAGATTTTCCTGTCATTATTGATGTCTGCAAATTTGATGGTACACCTTGCGCTACTGGAAATTTTATTCATAATGCCAACCCTTGTCACGCCACTGGATTATTTTCCTGCACCGAGAGAAATATGGATCACCTCCGCCAATGGTTTTGTGAAAAGATATTACCTATGTAAATTAGACTTTTTTTAAATAAAAGATTAAACGTATTATTTTAGTTTTATTAAAAACATAGTCTTCCTTTTTTACATATTTACTTTAATGCAAGATGATTCACATTTGCGAATTACAAAAAAAATTATAATAATATTAATATTTAGAAATACATTTATTACTAATATGATAGTTAAAAGTATAATCGAAGAACCATATTGTCCAATGACATTATCATTATTAGTTTGGTACCATTTTGAATCACTTTCGGTGTTATTTGGGGATATTAGCATGGTCTTATAGAATGCTCCTCCTGACTTTGGTATCCTTTTGAAAAATACTGGTAGCTGGCCATAATTCACCACACCATGATCCATTAGAGCCCATTCAGTTCTATTGCAATCAGTTTTTACATCGTTAAAACATATCACTATGTTCTTAACATTGTTTGGAACGTTTGTATAAATGACATTGTTAACAATAGCTGTTAGGATTATGAACGAGGTTGTTAGTGAGACATCTTGTTGGTTGAATTATTTTTTAACGGGTATTGTGTTTTTGACAGTTTTCTAGTAGACAAATGAAAATCAGCAAATCGTTTTTCAAGTGCGGTTCTATCTTCGTACCACTGAATATCCGATTTTAACTTTTTTATTTTTTCGTAAAACTTTTTTAATCTACATTCTATGGAAGACATTGATGACATGAAGCACGTTTAACGTAAAGAATAAATATATATGTTAATTTTACATTTGTTTGAAATTTTTCAATATACTATAGGAATTATATAATAGTATTTCAAAATTAAAAATTTATTTTTAAATATTTTTAAAATGAAAACTGTAAACTGTGGCGCTCTCTTGTGAAGACTAGCGTCACTATCACGTTCAGCATTATCGTAAACTGTAACCTCACCTACGCCACACGTTCTCTCTCGCACTCATTGATTTCCTTATCCCTTAGGCAACCGGCACTATTCATCTACTCATTCAAATAGCAGGTGAACTTTGAGTGATTTTTGATACGGATGTAAGAATAATATATTAATCTACCAACCTGCATTTCCTTTGACTTGGAGCGAGGTACTTTATATCAGGAGATGACTGAGTTTCAATCACTCTATAGTCTATTTCCATATCTGAACCTTTTCCGAGCTCGTGAGGCTGTTTGGATGAAATTTCCGGTACTTCTATGTAGGAATGAACGTAGTACTGTTCACAAAAGTGAAAACATGTTGCTAGTATTATCAATAATATAAGAAAGCTGAAGTGAGAGCGCCCACCAAAGTGGCGTGGCACGTGGCAAGTAGCAAGTAGCACGCGTCTAGTATGTTAGTTAAAATGTAACCAATGAAAAAGAATGATTCAGCGTACACCAAAATGACAGTGACGTCAGTCGATCTAATCATTCGTTTGCATTGGTTACATTATAAGCAACATGCTAGACGTGTGCTACTTGCTACTTGCCACGTGCCACGCCACTTTGGTGGCGTGACGTCATTCATTCTAATCATTCGTTTTCATTGGTTACATTTTAAGAAACATGCTAGACGCGTGCTACTTGCTAAGTGCTACTTGCCACGCCACTTTGGTGGGCGCTCTCACTAAGACTTCTCTCATAGATAGTCTATTTTTTAAATTTCTAATGTTTTTTTATTCTATGTAATGATATACCAACCTTTATAGGAAGCGTTGGATCTGAATCAAACCTAGCGTAACACAAGCCATTTAAGTAATGACAAAATAACAAAGTATCATCTACTTTGTCAATTTCAGTCGAATTTTCTTTGTTTCTGCAAAATGTAATAGGTATAAATTAGGAAATTTATTTTTTACCTTTCTACCACG